AATTTGATTCATTTAATTCTCAATGGGAGGCTTTTATCATATCAGAATCACCTGGGGGCCTTTTTCAAAATACATACCCACTCCAATCTTGAGAGATTTTTTATTTCTTCTCCTCATCCCAAATACAGAAAATCAGTATTAGTTAAAGCCTCTTTCATAAAAGGGAGTGTCAAATCTGTTGGTTGTATTGAAAGAAAAAAATTAGGACTAACTGCTTTAAATAGTAAGAAAAATTCTCTTTCAGGGTCCATAGAAAATATTTAAAAAGAAGGATGACCCGGACTCTGTCCTCAATGGATTTTAAATGCCCAGAATATAAACATGGCTGGGTTGAGGTATAAGAGTTGGCATGGTAGAAAGGAAATGCCACGGGAGTACACACAGTAAAAACTGTTGCCTCCAAACAGAGGGTACCTAACAGGTCCTTTATCACTATGATTCCTGATGGATGCTTTTAACAGTTATGGTATTTTGATGGATTAAAGTGATTCATTTTTCTAGTTAATTCATTAGCCTGGATTAGTTTATTTAAACTTAATACCTGGTATTACAGCAGGGGCTTCTGAAGGAGAAGAACTAAAGATATGTACATTTTGAGAAGCAGGAAGAATGAAAAGCATGGTGACTTTGAGTGATGTTGTGGTAAGGCTCCCTAGGAAGGACCCTCAGGAGTATGCCAGGGTGAGAACTGCCATCTTCAAAAAGGGAGACAAATTTGGATTACTACCCAATTGTTGAATAGGGTTTGCCTGCCAACTCAGGGGATATTAAGTTAGTTGTACATCATAAACTATTCTAATATGAAGTACAACATAAAATTATTTAACATCTCCCCTGACATTCCTTTACACTATAAGAATGTCATTTGCAAAGAAAAGATATAGGATCACTTTTTTTTTTTTTTCACATTTGCACATCTTTTATTTTAGTCCCTGGAACTTCCCTTCCTTTNCTGTACTAGTTTGCATTCCCACCAACAGTGTAAGAGGGTTCCCTTTTCTCCACACCCTCTCCAGCATTTATTGCTTGTAGACTTTTGGATAGCAGCCATAGGATCACTTTTATAAAGAAAAAAGTTTAATTGGTAAATAAAAATTAACTCTAGTCTCTGCAAAGCTTTACCAATAGAAAAATGTAAGTGAAAGGACAATATAAGAAATTGAAAACCTAATAAATGAGCATGTCTCAAGCCATCTCTCAGGGCATTTCAACTCCTCTAAATTTGTCTCTCAGAAGTTACTGTTGAATTAATCCTCAAATCCAACAAAAGTATGGACATGAATTTCCTCCTCAGTCTCTATCACCTTCATTGTCACAGCTGGTGAGGTCCGGGCCATCAAATCCTTGCTAGCTATCCACTTTGAAACCATGGTAAATAGTTTGTCATTAGATCTGCAGCCACTGCAAGGCAGTCACACAGGAAATGATGGCAAGCGTAACAGCCAGACGTTTAGAAATGGCAAACACTGAAGCAATGATCTGATGTGTTGTCCTAGTGTCTGAAATACCCTGCCGTGGAGATGTGCTTTATAAAATACGTAGTGTGCACTATGAAGCTGTAGCTCCAAAGCAGTGTATTTTAAACGAGAGAAAAGGAAAAGGATTCATGCTTTAAATTATTGAAATTCACCTTCATCTATAAAAACCTCAGACGATCTATTCTATCATCGTAGATAAAAATGGTCATGGGTTTTCCAAACTGGTAACTCTCTTCCCAGATACAGCCTTACACAAATACACTTTTCAGGGACTTCTTTCTCTTTAAAAATACCGTTGAACTGTTTATGGTTCTTCAGGATTACATGTTGCGCTAGAATTATAAATATGTATAAATATGCAGATGCTCTATCGAATCATTCCTTATCCCATTTGTATTTCCGAAGTTGTGTAAGATAACCTTTGTGGCTTTCCAAAACATCTTCTCTCACCCCAGGGGGCAAATTACCTCTATTTTCATTTCCTTTAGAGTTAGATCATTTTATAATTAAGAACTTATTGAAGCAGATTCTCCCCACGTGTAAGTTACTCCCTGGGGAGTAATTTATGCAAAGAGTGCCTCTGACTTAATATCATATAAGCCTAACAACTGTACAATGGATACCTGGCATTTTTAGTCAGTTTTGCAATCACTGAAAAAAAAATTCATAGCTGGAAATGTTACTCAAAAAAAAAAAAGTACAAATAACTTATAGTGTCATTCATTTGGGCTTTTTAATGGTAAGATTTTTAATAAAGGAATGTGTCTTATATTTTTTGTTCAAAAACATCAGAAATACCAGCTAATGATGATGTTTTTGATTGTGATGATGAAGACTGACATTTTGTAGCTCTTTATTATTTACAAGGTAAAAATAACTCATTTAATCCTCACAAATCTATGAAGTTTGTCAGCTAAACTTTCTAAACCAGAAAACAAGATCAGAATTTTTTTTCCTTGGTCCAGTCAGTAACAGGTTAGGGACTGGAATCCAGGGGAATGGAACAGAACAGAGTGATATAAAATCTTACATTTTTTTAATATCACAAAATTTTGAAAACAAATACTAGTTCATATATAAGAAGAGAAGCAAATAGAAATACTTAGTCTAGTAAGTTTTTTTTCTTTGGGTTTGTCTCCTCTTCTGATATTTTTATTTTCATCTCTTTAACTGCTACATTTGAATAATATAGGAATTCAAAATTGTATTTGTATTGTATCTTTGTGGGAGGCAGTGAAAGGGTTACTGAATGAACTATCAGGACAATCAGCTAATTTCCAGTTGTTTTTTCCCAAGTCACCTTAAGAGCATCATTAATGACCTGAATCCTCAGTATTCTCATCTGAAAAATAGAGACATAACACTGAATTTTTTGCTTATAAAGATGATATGAACTTCTTGTGAAATATTTAATTTAAAAAATTTACTGTGCTTCCCTAAAGCTAAGTATTTTTTAATACTTAAAGCTACATTATTTTTTAAAGTAGGATGGTAAGAAAAAGAAGGTTATGTCATTGCGTATTTGTTTTGCATATTCAAGGGTGAGAAACTGCATAAAAGCATCCAAGTGGCAGATTGATGTATTTTGAAGCATATTTTGCATAATTATTTTAAATTGGGAGTGGGAATAGCAGATCTTCCTAGTGTGTGTAATTTTAACAACACTGAGAATACTATCAGAGACATGGGAACTACTACATTCTAAATAAAGTTTATATCATGGATTCATCCATAACCTCAAAGATGATGACTTAAAATCATCTTTCTAAGAGGTTCTATACGTGTTCTGTAAGACATGACACTAAATAGCACACACGCAAAATGGAAATCCTATGCCCTACCATATTCCACAAAGGAATTGCCTTACCAACCACCCATTTATGTCATCTACTATTTAATCCTACACTGAAGGCTGGGAAGCTATAAGTCACCTTTATTCTTCATCAGTTTCCACCTCTCTCATTTATCTTCCCATTTCTTTCATTGAGCTATGTTTATTTGCTGCTTCTTCTGCATTTATCCTGCTACTGAGGTAATTCACGCTTTCAGCTCCTGACCCCCAGGTTGGGAATTTTAATTAGTCTTCCATTTGTTTCTGGTCAACCTGCCAAATTTACCTTTCTAAAGTAACCAAACCACCACTTTCGCCATTTCTTCATTCACGTCTTTGGTTCCTCATAGCCAGTGATGTCAGAAAATTCTTCTGCCTGATCCCCAGGAACTTCATAATCTGATATCACTCCCTCTATCCAATTTTATGACCCAAGTTTCCATTAGAGCCAAGTTGCTTGGCTCAGTGATCACAAGCCACAATCATTCGGGGCCATCTTAATTCCATCCTGCTTGCAGAAATGCCTTTTGCCTCGCACTTCCTACACAGTTTCCAAAATCAAAATATCTTTATCTCCAGGGAAATTGTTTCAGTCCTGTTGAAGTGATAGTACTCACATGCTTTGTGCTTCCCAGGTGTCGCTGGTGGTAAAGAACCTGCCTGCCAATGCAGGAGACTAAGAGACTCTGGTTTGATCACTGAGTCAGGAAGATCCCCTGGAGGAGGGCATGGCAGGATTCTTGTATTCTTGCTCCAGTATTCTTGCCTGGAGAATCCCATGGACAAAGGAGCCTGGTGGTTGCAAAAGAGTCGGACACAGCTGAAGTGACTTAGCATGTACCCATATGCTTTATCACTTTTCCCTTGATATCTCTATGTATTAATTTTGGTTTATTGATTAGATAATTGGTGTCATTAGTATATCTTATGTCAACAGCTTTTATTATTTTAGTGGATATATAGATACTCAATAAATATTGGACAGATTCTTTGTTGACATTTTCATAAGTAAACCTCCAGCCATTTAGTGTATGAAATCACCTCTACCCCTTCCAGTTTTGTTTTATTTACTCATTTAAAATATCATTGAAAAAGGTAATGTGATCATTCTCAGTGACCTAAAGTTTGAAGTACAAAAATAAAACCAAAACCACAGGTTCAAGAGATGTTTAAGTCACACTACATGAAGTTCGAAAAGGAAAAAACAATGAAAGCAAGAGTCTAGAAAACTTCTAGTCCCTGGTTATATTTTCTAGGTTAAGGAGAACAAAACAAAGAATGGTAAACGGATGCCCTTTATTTAAAAGGGATTCCCAGGTGCCTCGGTGATAGAGCATCCCTCTGCCGCATACGCAGAGACACAGGTTAGATCTGTGAGTTGGGAAGATCCCCTGGAGGAGGAAATAGCAACCCAGTTAAGTATTCTTACCTGGAGAATCCCATGGACAGAGGAGCCTGGCAGGCTACAGTCCATGAGGCGGCAGAGTCAGATATGACTGAGGGACTGACCACCTCCAGGTTACTTAGAAGAAGCTTAGAGCAGCCTTTCAGATGGAATAGGTGACCCTACCCCCCACCCCCAAACACTGAGTCTTCAACACTGAGTCATGGCAGGAGAAGTGAGCAGGGAGATGGGGGGGTGAAAGGAAGACAACTCTGTAAGCTCAAAACTGTCTGTTTTCCCCTTTCAGCACAAATTGAAGTGATACCATGCAAAATTTGTGGCGATAAGTCGTCTGGGATCCACTACGGAGTCATCACGTGTGAAGGCTGCAAGGTACGGGCTTTAACAAGGCACAGCTGACAGTGTCTGTGTTGGCCGCAGGCGTCTGTGTGCGTCACAATGCAGGAGGTGACAGCTTTTGAAAGGCCTGCTAAAGGATTCTCATCCTGCTGCTGACACTCAGGAATTCTTGCTTGGTGGTGGGTGGGTTGATTTTCTGTTATTTGGCCTTTCACCTTTTTGTCATTTTCCTTAGAAGGTAGGAAAGATGAGAGACTAAATATCAAGGGGAAAATGAAAACAGTTCTACAACTAATTTTAAAGGGCACTGTGTAACCAGAACAAATGAAATGAAGCTATAGTCCAGGAGGGGAAATCGATAGACTGGCAAAGTTACTGGTAAAAGCAATTATATTTTTGATCAAAGATGCAAGCTGAGTGAGTCATTAATTTAAGGTCAGTAGAATGAAAGAGATGTGGCACAATCACAGATTCTAAGAACCACCCTTAATCTTATAAGACGTTCGGATATAAATGAAACAAAACGTACTGAAACTCAGATAGTCATGCTATGTGAAAAATTGGCAGTATCTTCATAACAGTCTCAAAGAAGTATAATTCCTGGAATTGAAACTGGAAGGAAAGGAAAAAAAAAATGATTAAATGAGAATAAAGTCAGGAGAGGGAATGCAGAGGGGGAAGAATAACACAAATGTACTAACCCAGCAACACACCAACCTGCTTTAGAGGTGATAAGCAATAATCCATGTTTGAATATCATGAGATGTGCTTTGTATTCTGTTCTTCTGCAGACCTATAATTCAGAATTGCATGTTATCCACCTTAATGTGCCTCAACTTATCTCATGAAACAGTAAGGCAAAATTACAGACCAGCATTTTTTTTCTACTCTTAGAATAAGTTAATACTTCCTCCAGGCAGATAGACAATTTTCTTCATAAAAAAGAATAATTTGGGAATCAGACCCCTCTCCAGTGAAATCACTCCCACTGTGTAGGTTTATTATACAATTTTAAGAGCTCTGGTTTAGTTTATACACTATCCATGGAAAAAAAAAGGACTTCCCTGGTGACTCAGATGGTAAAGAATCTGCCTGCAATACCAGAGAACCAGGTTCAATCCCTGGGTCAGGAAGATGCCCTAGAGAAGAGAATGGCAACCCACTCCAGTATTCTTGCCTGGAGAATTCCATGAACAGAGGAGTGTGACAGGACACAGTCTATGGATTCGCAAAGTGTCGGACAGAACTGAGTGACTAACACCATCATCATGGTGATGGTGATTTTAGACCACTGTCAAAGTGGAAATGTTTCATTTCATTGTATACAGCTGGATTTATAAATGTCTGATTTCAAAATATGAATCTGTGGTTTTGTTAAGGAGCTAAACAGTTTTAAGCAGTAATTTTTAAACTATTGAACTGCTTAACAAATATATTCCAACAGGTCAATAGCCAAGAACAAGTGTTTAGGTTCCTATCATCTCTTCTATTTAAAGAAGGAACCCACAATCAAAGAATTTGTGTTTGTTATTTTGAAGCATATTCTGAGGTTTTAGTCAAAATGACATTGTACATCACACAAATTTTTTTATTTCATGGAAAAACCCACATTTGTAAATATGCTACGTTTTTCTCCAAATAGCAAACTCAAGAAATTCTGCTCAGAATAAGATATCAATGTCAGCACATTTAGTATCAACTTCTGAATTTTCATAATCCTGTTTTCGGGTCAACATAAACAACCCACATTAAAAAACATCATTTCAGCATGTGCACTTGTTCAGATTCCTTTTCATTCAATAAAAATTTAAAACGAAACCTCCTTTTCATGCCAAAAATCTCATTTGCAATAATGAGCAACAGATAAGCAAGAAATGCCTTACAATTAATGTCAAATTGGCCTTAAATTAGGGCTGTAGCTGTGACTTCAAAAAAAGTCTTTTCTGTCAACTCCTTTGCTAAGTGGCACTTAGAGTATCCACAGATAAAAACTGCACAATTTTTTTGTAAAATGTAAATTCCAAGTCATCTTTAATCAGGACCAATGGACTGAGGTTATGCTTTCTGACAGCTTTCACAGTAGATGAAGTACATCATTTCAATCCCTGGGGGCTTGGATGTGATCTCTTGTTCAAGGGCTCTGTGAATTCTTTCAAACTGGACAGTTGGATATCTTATTTTGCCACCACTGGTCCATTAAATAAATAATACACTTGGAACTGTGGGGGCAAAATTAGTCCTTGTTGAATGGCTTGGGGCTTATAAACATACAACCTTATAGAGGAGATACTTGGCCATGCTTCATTTTCTGAGTTTTTCACAAGATTGGCCAAGCTCTCTGTTGCAGGGCTTTGCCAAGCCATATGGAAGCCTAAGACAAAAGGAAAATCGATAATTTAAATTCTGCTTTTATTTAAATTTTTGAGGGGTTTGCATTAATGTTGATTTTTAACATTTAAAATCAGTGTTAAAATATTTATCCTGAGTGCCACATCTTTTAGCAACCCTTAAATATGTGACCAAGATGGTTGCCTCACCAGCCTCACCCTGGTCCCAGCCCTGCTCTATCCTCCCATTGATAGTTGAGGAAACATGGAAGCTATTTGACAGAAGTCAGGTGTCCACTTCCAGACCTCTCAGCAAGATGGGCATCGTGGGCGTTGGGCAGCCCTCCTGAACCTTTTCTAGGCTTCCTGCTTCCAAGAGAGGATACTATGGGTTATCTCTTCCTAACATTTCTCTTGGTAAATCTATTTGTTTGTAGCACTTTGCACCTTTGCTGTTTTGCAATTCAAGAGCAAGGAGTGATGAGGAAAACATTAAATAGGTGAATGAAAGGGTGAAGGAAACTTTCATATCTCTGGAGAAAATGTTTATTTAGGATTTTTGCTAAGATAACTAATGTGGGTTGTAGCCAAAGAATTAGGAAAAAAAAAAAACAACAATAAACTTAGCTGTGGATTTATTTATAAGGGTGATATATGGTCCAAGGCAGCTCATTTTGTACTCAAAAGACCTAAACTTACTTGCTTGAGGACTTTCTATGTCACTATAGTCTGAAATAGTTACCGGCGTGGGTTAATTGTGACTCCACCACACTGGATCTACTTCTGAGACTTTAGCGTTTATTGTGCCCTTTTGTCATTAGAGGCATACATGATGGCCTAACTCAGGGAGACATGCCCTCCTCACCAACACCCCCCACCCTTGGGCTAGGGTGCCTTTGTGAGACTCCCAGGAAGATAGCCTGACCCTGCCCGCCTGTGAAGGACTGGGATAGTCTTGAGTTCTTTGTATGGGAAACAGCCTTCAACATGGCTTGGCTCAGAAATTCACATCTGGGGGACTGGAATCATAGATAGCTGTGGCATGTTTGTTTATTGATATGACAGGAGAGATTCCATTTTACACCACCCAAGAAATGACTGTAAGGAAGTGAAACTAACACATCGGCCTGTCTGAGACTTGCCATTCTAAGAGATCGTTGCAAGAATTAAATTGTCTTCTTACTTTATTTCCTTACCTCCCCCATCTCTGATCCATAAAAGAATCTGGCATCCAGGCCCAACAAGATGGTTATTTTGAGATGCTACTCTGCCATCTTCTCTGTTAGCTGGCTTTCCAAATAAAGTTGTATTCCTTGCCTCAACATGTCATCTCCTGGGTTTATTGGCCTATCTTGCTGCAAGCAGAGAGAGCTTGGACTCAGTAACAAGATCAAGCAGAAGACATTCAGCTTATACTTATTGTTTATTTTTTTAATTGGCAGTTTATAAACCCTATTTCCTTTATTCAAAAGATGTGGTTGACTCTAAGGTACATATTGGTTAGAAATACAACCTTCCAGATACATTCTGGCCAAATGCAAAAATTTCCAAAGGGATGAAAATGCATCTGAAGAACTAGGAAGATAGTGGCACCTGTTGAAGCCACACTCCACAGTACCCCAAGTTCCTCACTCACACAGCCTTGACATAAGCCTGTGTTATTGTCCCAGGTGGCGCTAGTGGTAAAGAACCTGCCTGCCAATGCAGGAGACTGAGAGACCTGTGTTTGATTCCTGAGTCGGGAAGATCCCCTGGAGGAGGGCACGGCAACCCACTCCAGTATTCTTGGCTTGAAGAATCCCATGAACGGTGGAGACTGAGAGACCTGTGTTTGATTCCTGAGTCGGGAAGATCCCCTGAAGGAGGGCATGGCAACCCACTCCAGTATTCTTGGCTTGAAGAATCCCATGAACGGTGGAGCCTGGCAGGCTATGTTCCGTAGAATCACAAAGTCAGACACAACTGCATTAAACCAACAAGTTTTGTTGCATGTGACACTCTCCTCTGCCACTCTTTTTTCACTGCTGTCTGGGAGCAGGAACTCTGTTCTCTTTTACTTCACACAGAACAGCAAAGATGTCTTTAGTAAATATGAATGAATGAAGGAATGATACCTTCATATCTTGGCAGAGAGTCCACGTTTTCTCCGATAGAAATGTCTGTAAGCTATCCAAGGAGAGGTAGCCAGAGTTTTAAAAATTGAAGTCAGTTACTTTCACCGGAGTATATGTTAATGGTCCCTTCTCATAAATCTACCTCCTTCCCACTCTCTCTCTCCCTCTAGGGATTCTTTAGGAGGAGCCAGCAGAACAATGCCTCGTACTCCTGCCCGAGGCAGAGAAACTGTTTAATTGACAGAACCAACAGAAACCGTTGCCAGCACTGCCGACTGCAGAAGTGTCTTGCCCTAGGAATGTCAAGAGATGGTAAGGCATTGCCTTCCTATTTCTTACTTAAAGGCTTTCAAATGGATGCTTTGCTGGAATCTGTTTAAAGGGTTGGAAGAATTCTAGACAAAGAGAATTGGGGATCCAAAGTAAAGAAAGCGACATGCTGGCAGTGTATTAAGAGGAAAAGTAAGAGCATGTAAATATATAATTTTGCCTATGAAATAGGAAGAAAGGAAAGACTTTCCTGTATCTCACCAAGCAACCTGTGCTAACTAGATTAGGTGAAAGCCACATAGAGTGAAATGTGACCACTTCTCCAGGTTTCTCAGTGAATGAGGGATTTCCTGGGATGTGAGATTTTCTGAGCTAAAACTGGAAAGTTCCAGGCAGACCGGGACCACTTGGGTAAATCTGACTAGTGGGCAAGTTGCTTATTTTGTGGAGATGCTAAGGAACAAAACTTGCTTCCATAGGAAGCCCAAGATCTCCATCAGTGAATGTGGCCTATTCAGATGAAGATAGCAGAGGCTATAGCAGAACTCTATGTCTTAGAAAGGTTGTGGAGATGGTGTCCTTCTCACAATAGACTCGTGTGCACTTTATCATCACACCCAACCCAAATGGGTGGCTTGGCACCTTCTTAGATTAATGAAAGAGGACAAATAAGCTCATACAAAGAATTTCATCTAGCTTTGCTTCCATTTTTAAGTATTCAGCTAAACAAATTCTTTCCACACTGACACTGGCCATAGCACTCCTATACTGGATTATGAACAGCCCTGAGTCCTGGGGTCATTTCTGTCTAGTTCCCACTGAATCCTCAGGATCTGGTTAAAAGCAGGCACCTAAGTGTTTGCTGAATGAATCATGAAAATACTTTTTATGTAGAGCCTGAGACACAGACAAAGTCCCTGATACTTAGTCTGTCTATGTGATCATTGTGATTTCTGTGTCTCCGGTCACACTTCCTCTAATGAAGTTCCAGGTGGTATGGACACAAAAAGAAAAAGAAATATTTCTAGATTTTAAAGAAATTTAGCTAATTGCCTTCACTGTCTCTTAGTATCAAGGGATTTATAAGCTATTAAATAAATTCAGGGCTTTTGGTCATTTGGATAAATTTAGCTCTGCTTAGAAGATACCTAAACATATACACAGTTTACTTCTTAGCTTGCATTCTCCAGATAGTTGCATCTTGAATTTTTCTTACCATTTCTCTAATTTCCAGCTCACCTGAATTTGTCTTGGACAAAAGTATACCAATAAGATATATTTGACTCAAAAAATAAAAAGAATCTGATCTTGAGCCCTTCAGTTTATAGGTAGCTTCTAGAGCTACAGAGATTAAGTTTCCAAAACTTTTCTATTAGCTTATCTTTTTGTCTGTTTTTCTAAATTTGCAAATCACATACATTTACTCTTTAGGGTAAATCTGTAGCCCTGTGTACGTATACATTACTAAAGGAAGAAAGTGTAAGGTAGGGGTTAAATGATTTTCAGAATTTATTTAGTCAAATTCTGTGGGAACTTGAGTTGATGATTTTGTACTTCATTTTTATAATTTGGAGGTGGCATAATAATTGACAGTATCTGAAAAGCTCCATTAACAATTATACAGAGAGACTAACCCACTGAGAAAGGGTGCTTCTTCCCACAATAAAAGGAAGCATGTATTTGGAATGAGAGATCACATTGGTGTGGGCTGGTGAGCAGAATCATGGGCAAGGGATGGGTATTTGGTCCAATGCAGACTTAGTGACATCAGCCTACAAAATCTAAGAGATTATCTGAATCTCACAACATAAAAGAAATATATTGGTAGGGGAAGGATTGTTTATGGATAGAGCCACAATTCCTTCTCAAGGGGGAAGAAATTTACTGCAGCATAAACTTCTATGCAAGTAAAAACAATACAGTACCTAAGGATGCTGAGGATTAAGAATAATGATCCTTCTTGATTTTAAGTCTAGAAACAATCCTGAGGCTTCCAGGAACATCTTCCAAATTGCCTCCTAAACATGTCTTATGCCAAGCTGATGATGAGAAGAAATACTAAGGAGTGATAGAAGTGGTTGGGAATGAGGAGAAGGAAGTACCACAGAAGGACAAAATTATTCTTTCTAAGGGAAAACAAATTCTTCTTTATCATTTGTATAGAGGAAGTTTGTTATAAGCCTTGAATACTTTCATACTTTATAAACTAAGTAAGTCACACTAATACTTGGGAATGGACTTCCCAGGCGGCACAGTGGTAAAGAATCAGCCTGCCAGTGCAGGAGACGCAGGAGACATGGGTTTGATCCCTGGGTCAGGAAGGTCCCCTGGAGTAGGAGATGGCAAAAATTTCAGTATTTCTTGCCTGGAAAAGCCTATGGACAGAGGAGCCTGGAAGGCTACAGTCCAGGGGATCACGAAGAGTCGGACATGACTTAGCACACACACGTGTGTCAAGTTCAATACCTGGGAAGCTAAATAGGGTTTATCTCCTATTGATTAATAATGCCTAGTTTGTGGAATCAAAGAATTACAAAGTCCTGAGGTTATGGTTGATTAACCATGTCTATAAGCGCTCAAGAATGAGAGGTGGAGTGTCTCTTGCCACTAATTTATTATAGCTACCTTCTGCAGATGAAGCAAGCACCTTTAAAGTGCTTTAGCAGTAGTACCAGCAGCCACAGTAAATTGTCTCACATCAAACTTCTTTCTACATAACACCCCATTCAGCTTCCCTCAGACATAAAGTGGCATCTTCATTTTGATGTATTGGCATTTTCTCTCTATAAGTTATACCTGTCTCCAAGAGTATTTACTTCACTATAGCTGGTCACTGAAACAACATGACGACTAGTAGACAGCTTGATATAACTGTTGACTCCATTGGACTTTCATTCTCTCCTGAATTTCAGCTTCTATAGTGGTGGATTAGCCACAGCAGGTATATGAGTAGAAGACAAACTCATCAGTAACAAATTTGCTCAAATTTAGCATTGGCAAAGAATCAAAAGTCAAATCCACTTGGCAAACATAGAAGTGTTTATGTGTATTAAAGGGTGAAGGTATTGCATGTACATGTATGTGTGAAGTGATGGCATGTATATAACCCACTGAATCTTCTCCACCATTGTATTTATTTCTTTTATAAGTGGACCCTTCACAAATGTTAGCTACAGGAATCTTCCGTGTAAACTATTTCCAGTTGTATTAGTACTACTTTTAAAAAAAATATACAGAAAAAGTTTTTGTATCAGTAGGAAGAAACTGCACCCCAAAAGGAAAACATGGTAATTACCTTGCAATAATTAAGTATGTGTCCTCCAAATGGCATGTTTCTATGAAAACATGAAAGCTGCCTACAGGGGCAGGTGTCACAGGTTTGGCTTCTTCTTATCCAGCATGGTATTGTCCAATATGGTATCTGCATGTCACTATTTAAATTTAGATTTGTTAAAATTGAGTAAAATTTAGACTTGTGGACACAGCAGGGGAAGGAGCAGTGGAACAAACTGAAAGAGTAGCGTTGGAACATGTATATTATCATATGTAAATCAGATAGCTCATATGTAAAACAGGAAGCTCACCCCAGTGCTCTGTGACAACCTAGTGGGTGGAATGGGGTGATGGGTGGGAGGGAGGTTCCAGAAGGAGGGAACATATACCTAAGTATGGCTGATTCACATTGTTTTATGGCAGAAACCAACATGACATTCACTGGAAAGCAATTATCGTCCAATTAAAATTTTTTTCAAATGAACTTTTAAAAAATTAAATAAAATTCAAAATTCACTTCTTTAGTCATACTAGCTCTATTTCAGGTGCTCAAAAGCCACATGTGGCTTGTGACTATCACACTCAAAAGCACAGGGAACATTCCATTATCACAGGATGCTCTATTGGAGCAGAACCTGATAGCATCTTTAAAGTGCTTTAGCAGTAGTACCAGCAGCCACAGTAAATTGTCTCACATCAAACTTCTTTCTACATAACACCCCATTCAGCTTCCCTCAGACATAAAGTGGCATCTTCATTTTGATGTATTGGCATTTTCTCTCTATAAGTTATACCTGTCTCCAAGAGTATTTACTTCACTATAGCTGGTCACTGAAACAACATGACGACTAGTAGACAGCTTGATATAACTGTTGACTCCATTGGACTTTCATTCTCTCCTGAATTTCAGCTTCTATAGTGGTGGATTAGCCACAGCAGGTATATGAGTAGAAGACAAACTCATCAGTAACAAATTTGCTCAAATTTAGCATTGGCAAAGAATCAAAAGTCAAATCCACTTGGCAAACATAGAAGTGTTTATGTGTATTAAAGGGTGAAGGTATTGCATGTACATGTATGTGTGAAGTGATGGCATGTATATAACCCACTGAATCTTCTCCACCATTGTATTTATTTCTTTTATAAGTGGACCCTTCACAAATGTTAGCTACAGGAATCTTCCGTGTAAACTGTTTCCAGTTGTATTAGTACTACTTTTAAAAAAATATACAGAAAAAGTTTTTGTATCAGTAGGAAGAAACTGCACCCCAAAAGGAAAACATGGTAATTACCTTGCAATAATTAAGTATGTGTCCTCCAAATGGCATGTCTCTATGAAAACATGAAAGCTGCCTACAGGGGCAGGTGTCACAGGTTTGGCTTCTTCTTATCCAGCAGGGTATTGTCCAATATGGTATCTGCATGTCACTATTTAAATTTAGATTTGTTAAAATTAAATAAAATTTAGACTTGTGGACACAGCAGGGGAAGGAGCAGTGGAACAAACCGAAAGAGTAGCGTTGGAACATATATATTACCATATGTAAATCAGATAGCTCATATGTAAAACAGGAAGCTCACCCCAGTGCTCTGTGACAACCTAGTGGGTGGAATGGGGTGATGGGTGGGAGGGAGGTTCCAGAAGGAGGGAACATATACATAAGTATGACTGATTCACATTGTTATATGGCAGAAATCAACATGACATTCACTGGAAAGCAATTATCCTCCAATTAAAATTTGTTTCAAATGAACTTTTAAAAAATTAAATAAAATTCAAAATTCACTTCTTTAGTCATACTAGCTCTATTTCAGGTGCTCAAAAGCCACATGTGGCTTGTGACTATCACACTCAAAAGCACAGGGAACATTCCATTATCACAGGATGCTCTATTGGAGCAGAACCTGAGGAGGATGAGAAAAAACATTTCAAAATTATAACTAGCTTTCGGTAGACGGAATTGGATTATTTCTACAAATCTTAAAGCACTATAAAAAAGGCATATCCTTGACATTTAAATGTTAAATTAAGACCAGTTTCCTTGATAAGTAGTGAGATATAAACATAAAGAACTTTACAGCCAACGATAAAATAATTTTTAAAATGACCATGGAAAGTCATAGATGATAGTTCAACAACTGAATTCCTCTTGAAACAAAAAAACTTGTGTCTAGTTGTGTGGTAGGAAGCAGTAATCTTTGAAGAAGCAGCGGCTTCGTTTTATCGTTGTTGTTTAGTCGTTAAGCTGTGTCTGACTCTTTGCCACCCCATGGGCTTCAGCACACCAGTCTTCCGTGTCCTTCACTATCTCCTAGAGTTTGCAACTTTGCTTTATAACTACTCCAAAAACTTACATTCCATTTCAAATCCTACCATTTCAAATAGACCTGAAAAACGTTTCCAATACATTTGCGTAAAGTTCTTTGCTACTGTGGGATCAAAATCAGGTTTAAGAGCACATCACAAGCAAACACTATCACTGTTGAATATTTATGAAGCAGTTGCAATGTATACAGAGCTGTGCTAGTTTCTTTGAGAGCCAGCAGTTGAACAAGTGGCTGCCTCCATACTCAAGTGAATCTCATTAACAGAATAATTCAAATTTGAGAGGGGCAAACACTTAAAACACGTGCTGTACTGATTAATGGGTAGTGGAAAGAAGAATGCTACTGCTTGAAAATATAATAGTAATATAGTCTTTGCTAAAAATAAGCCTATGAATACAATAAATATATTTACAAATAGTGAGAAGGAATTTTTTATTTATCAGGGAAGTTCAGTAAGTTTATTTTGGCAAGTGCTGTAATTCTTTTTTCCCAAATATGTCACCACTTACTATAGAAAGGGACATAAAACTGAAAAACTGGCTCATCCGTGTTTCTGAAATGAATGCAACATTTATTCTAAACTAATACTGAAGCCATTGTCTGCAAAGTCCTTGATTTAGGATGAAGACTGATGATTTCAAAATGTAGTGGAACTTTAAGTTTTTTCTTTGAAAATATTTAAGTTGTTCAGTGACTTAATAAGTCAGTTTTTTGGAAGAGGCATAACAGCACAATTCTGAACCTAAAATTGTTAAATGTAGGGTCTTGTCTGGGTTCGTTCCCACATCTTTTATCAGCTGCAGGTTAGTTCTACAATTAGGACGTGTAGTTGGCTTTGACTGAGATGGCTCTGTCCTGTTTCACATCGCTTATCCTCCAGCAGACTAGTTTAGGCACTCACTCACACAGGCACTGTTTAAGCCTCTGTTTGTATTGTGTGTGTGCATGCGTGTCAAGTCGTTTCAGTCATGTCCGACTCTTTGCAGCCCCATGGACCGTAGCCTGCCAGGCTCCTCTGTCCATGGGGATTCTCCAGGCAAGAACACTGGAGTGGGTTGCCGTGCCCTCCACCACAGGATCTTGGTGATCCAGGGCTCGAACCTGTGTCCTCTGTGACCCCTGCACTCTAGGCAGATTCTTCACCACTGAGCCACCAGGGAAGCCCTCTGTGCGTGTGTCTGCTTAGTCGCTCAGTCGTGTCCAACTCTTTGTGACCCCATGGACTGTAGCCCGCCAGGTTCCTCTGTCCATGGGGATTCTCCAGGTAAGAATACTGGAGTGGGTTGCCAGGTCCTCCTCCTGGGGATCTTCCCAACCCAGGGATCAAACCCAAGTTTCCCACATTGCAGACAGATTCTTTACCCCCTGAGCCACCAGGGAAGCTTACATACATCAATATCCCATGGGCCCAGAGCATGACCCTGAGTCAGAGGGGTGGAGCAGGATGCCTGCACAGAATGTAAGGGCATTACAAATTTATATGAGAAAGAGAGGGCAAATAGGCAAAAGGCAGCAGGGGTATTAAAGCAGCCGATCCACTACAATATCTGTTTCACCCAGCTTGCTTAGTTGCTCAGGCTCCTCTGTTCTTGGGGATTCTCCAGGCAAGAATACTGGAGTAGTTTGCCATGCCCTCCTCAAGGAGATCTTCCCAACCCAGGGATCGGACCCAGGTCTCCTGCACTTCAGGCAGATTCTTTACCATCTGAGCCACCAGGGAAACCCAAGAATACTGGAGCAGGCATCCCTTCTCCAGGGAGCTTCCCGACCCAGGAATCAAACTGGGGTCTCCTGCATTGCAAGCAGATTCTTTACCAGCTGAGCTACCAGGGAAGCCCATTTCACCTACAGAGTATAGAAATCTAAAGCAAGGAGGTGTGGAAAGTGGTTTAAAAAGAGATACTACAATTGCAGCAGTATTTGCAATAGCCAGGACAGGGACGCAACCTAAATTTCCATCAACAAAGGAATAGATAAAGATGATGTGGTACATATACACAATGGGATATTACTCAGCCATTAAAAGGAAGTGAATTGTGCCATTTGTAGAGACAGGGATGGACCTAGGGATTGTCATACAGACTGAAGTCAGTTAGAAAGAAAAAAAGCAAATATTGTGTAATAATGCTCCTATGTAGAAAAATGATACAGGTGTACTTATTTGCAAAGCAGAAATAGAGACTCGGATGTAAAGAAGTGAAGGCAAATGATGTGGCTTACTTAAAATCATGTTTCTCACCCTGTTCTACATCCTTGGTCTTACCCAACCTGCTATTTAGAAAATAGTGAAATTATAGGGCCTTAGCTGACAATCCAGAAATCCTAACACTTAGGAGGGAAGTTAATGATGAGTGTTGGTTGACATTTGAATAGATACTATGTGGTAGTTTGAGATTTTTGTGAATTTTATTTTCCCCACAAGTAAGAAAGAACAAGGAAGCGTGCCTTCTAACTTCATGGCAATGGGAAATACATCTGTGAGTATTTCAGTTTCTTCCTAGCTTAGACTTAGTTCCCACTATACACATAAACCATTACAGACAGCCCTGAATATAACCTTTCATCAAATGTGGAGTGTAAACCAAGGGACTCGGGGGCGACGGGACTTGAACTCTGTGCATTTTATGGCGAGGAGACAGGCATCGTGAGCTCTTGAACTCCCGGTGGTTAACGAGAGAGAGAATCACAAGTGCCGTTTTCGACTTTTGTCTCCCGCCAGCTGTGAAGTTCGGGAGGATGTCCAAGAAGCAGAGAGACAGCCTGTATGCTGAGGTGCAGAAGCACCAGCAGCGGCTGCAGGAGCAGCGGCCGCAGCAGGGCGGGGAGGCCGAGGCCCTCGCCCGGGTGTACGGCGGCGGCCTCAGCAACGGCCTCGGCGCCCTGAACAACGAGGCCAGCGGCGCGTACGCCAATGGACCCGTCATCGACCTGCCCAAGTCCGAGGGATACTACAACGTGGATTCCGGCCAGCCGTCCCCCGATCAGTCAGGACTTGACATGACTGGGATCAAGCAGATAAAGCAAGAACCTATCTATGACCTCACATCCGTACCCAACCTGTTTACCTATAGCTCTTTCAACAACGGGCAGTTAGCACCAGGGATAACAATGAGTGAAATCGGTAAGTGGAAATCTTCCAGCACATTTTTTGGAAATTCTACTTTGAAGTGGCCTTGATCCTATTTAGTAAGATCATTTTCTTAGGTCTAAGGTGAATCACTTGCTTTCATGACTTCTAACGAGAAAACGAATTGATTTTAAAATATAGTCTAATAACTGTCATTGTTCCCAAGGCCCATAAAAGTTTATTTCAAGCAAAGGAAGAAAGAGGGAATTATAAATAGATGCTATCTGTAAAGAACAGATGCTATCTGTTGGATTTGGGTTCATCACTGAAGGAAAAATGTTATTGGTATAAACAAAATTTCAGCAAGTGTTCAAAGTGATGCTATTAAAAGTGAAATAGCTAAGGGATATAGAAGCAGTATGTAGAAGAAAGTGAATGAACAGGGCTCCAACTGGCTAAGATAACTGGGGACAAATGTCAGTTTCCTTCTGTGTAGAGGCAGAAGGATAGACCAGAAGACCTCTAAGGCTCTTGTAAATCTCAATTCAAGAATTTTACATCAGAATAAAGTCCGAATTACTGGCAATAAAAAGAGTATAGTCCACCTTGGATCTGGAATGTAAAGAGGATGTGAAAAACTTGGTGGAATCCAAATAAAGTCTAGAGTTCAGTGTAAAACAAAAAAAAAAAGACTAGTTACAGAAGAGCAACAAATAAGCCCCACTGGGGCAAGTCCCAGGCACTGCTGCCTGAGAAACACTACGCTCTTGCTTTGGCAGCGTCCTTGCTAAGGAGTGGTGCTCAAGACTGCATCTGCCTAGGGGCTCTGTCTTCTCTCCTCACAACTCTTTTACCCTGTTAAGCTTAGGAGTCTGTTAACTGTCTAAGAGGTTGATTTTACTCAGTAATTGCCATGAAAATATGGATATAGGTTTAACACATTAGCCTCCTGGGTAACAGAGCTGCCTGTTAACCGTGTCCTGGAGAAGCTCACAGGCAGTGGCTATAGCAGGCTTCTTTGCAGTATTCCGTGCGCAGGGGAAAGCAGTGTGGAGCTCAGAAGCCTGAGGCCTCCTCAGATCTCTCCCTAAAAGGTAGCAGAAAAGAGCGGTTAAGAACCAGGCCACTTGCAGACTTCCCTGGTGATCTGGTCATTAAGACCCTGCTCTTCCACTGCAGGTTCAGTCTCTGGTTGGGGAGCTATGATCGCACTGGCATGGTCAAAAAAAAAAAACAAAACAAAGGCCAAAAAAAAAAAGATTCTAGGTCACTTGAATTCAAATCCTGGATCTGTGGCCTATTATCTGAGCTGGAAAGCAAGTTTCTCAATCCCAGTTTGCTTATTCTATTTGTTTCGCCAAAAGTACTAGCTCATAGCTCTCACCGTTTTTGTAAGAATTCAACGAGTTCATACATGTAAAATAGAGCCATGAAAAAAAATAAAATAGAACCACGTTTGGAACCCAGTAAGCACTCAGTAGCTCTGAGCTGTTTTCACTTATCCACCACGTGTTCAGTCACCTTCTCTGTCTAAACAGTGAGTAGGAGCCCAAAGCCTACGAGTGTTTTAAATAAAGTGGATGTGAACACATAACGAAGGACATGCCATATGTATCTTGGCTACTTCTACCATCTGGCTGAGGAAGAAGTGATGTGACACAGTTACAAAACCTGAAACGTTATTTCTCTCTCTCAGCAATTTAGCCTATGGCAGTGAGCAAAGAAGTGGTTGACAAAGCCCTTGTAACAACATCCACAGCTGAGGGACGTAGAAAACTGCCCAGCAGCGTTGATAACAAAAATATTCATTAGATTTCTCTCCTTAAACAGGCACCATGTCACAGGCACTTCACACACTTAATTTTCACAAGCATCTTATAAGTAAAACTATTATTCCCATTTTACTGATGAGGAAACAGAGGCTCAGAGATGTCTCATGACCTGCCCATATCCTTTGATTACTAAAGGATAGAGCCACCTTCCATCCCAGGCTATCTGACTCTGGAGTTCTTGTGCTCATCCATTATCCCACTATTTGCTCTGGGCTTAACGTCCACAAACTGCACTGTCAATCAATAGAGGACAATCTGTTTAAGTAGAGTCACTCAGTCTTTCCAGGAGAACATGTTAAAAGGGAAAGGAACTAGGCACCATAATTTGCTTTTATCCTACTTAGTATCTGAGTGCCCGAGTTTGCTACTGATTTGGAACACATGTTTAAAACATACGGAAGCAGAAACAATTGTTGGGCAGTCTTCTGTTCCATACAGAAAAAGGAAAGACTTCTAAGAATTCAAAAGTCTTCGTGATTTAATTTCTAAATCACAGTTTCTTTGCGATTTAGAATCAGTAGGAGGTATTATAGAAAGAGAACTTCAGCCAAAAACATGAACTTTAGGTAACTCTACCCAGGTCATTTTCCTTCTGGCCTGAACTAGAGAATCTCCAAATCCATCCAGATTTTCTACACAGACATTGACCCAAAAATAAACTAGCATTTATCTTTTCTTATTTAAAGGTACTATTAGTCTTTAGAGATCTCTAGATCTGCTGTAAATTTTGGAGGTTTCTTCCATCAGACTTTTAGGGATACAATTAGATTGTCCTCCGAGAGCTCTCAAATTTAGCTGGCTCCTAAGCCTAAGCGTTGCCGTGGTTCCCATTTCGTTAAAACGGCAACGCCATCTAGTGGACACAAACTCCTCCGCGCGTCGGATGGAGATACCTACCGGAGCCGCAACAATGTGATGCGCAGTGCTTTCCTGCACCACCTAAAAGACTTCCATTCATTTCACTAGACCACCATAACCGTCTCTGTGGGCAGGAGGGCCCACTGATGCACAGTAGTTAAGAACTTTGGTTCTACAGTCGGACAGCCTGAGTTCAAAACCTGGCTGCGGCTTTCCCTTCAGTCAGTTTACCTAAGCTGAGTCTCAGTTGCAAACCTGAGACGAGAATAACCCCAACCTGTGCATGTGGCTTAAATTAGTTAATATTTGAAAATCCTTAGAACAGTATCTGTCCTGCATAAGCCTTATCATCATCATTGTTATTATCAATATAATTTATATCATAAAGTTATTCATTTCCTTATTAGCTAATAACATTCCTAGTTGTTACAAGTTATGTAATTACCTTTTATTGAGCACCTACATGTTGCCAAAATATATTTAATGCTTATAACAGCTCTCTTATGCCTGTTATATAAGTATTTGTATATCCATTTTGCAGGTGAAAACATTGAGTCTCAAAAGTTAGAAAACTTGTTAAAAGCAGAGTGAACCAGTGAACCCAGGTCAGAGTAACAGCAAACCCCTCTCTTAACGATGTTTCTTCCCATCAAACAAAGGGAGCCCCTCACTAGCTAAGAAAAGGGCAAAAGGAAGCTGCAAATTAATAATTAGGCATCAGGTTTACCTAGTTTTAGCAGGAATTTTATCTCAAGCTGGCATGGTGGATGTGTTCATCTTTACAAATGAGATTTTACAGTGGTTGGTGGCAGGGAGAGGAAGCTTTCTAGAGGCAGGCTGGCAAACTAGCCGAGAAAGAAAGTGGAAGGTTGTGCCTTAGCTCCCTCACCACAGCCCTCAGATGAGGTGAAAGATTCTGCAGGACTAATACTCTTAATGAAAGCTCATTTAAGCTCAAAGATGATTGACAGTGTATCTATGAGATACCAGTTCAGTTCAGTTCAGTCACTCAGTCGTGTCTGACTCTTTGCGACTCCACGAATAGCAGCATGCCAGGCTTCCCTGTCCATCACCAACTCCCGGAGTTTACCCAAACCCATGTTCATCTAGTCAGTGATGCCATCCAGCCATCTCATCCTCTGTCGTCTCTTTCTCCTCCTGCCCCCAATCCCTCCCAGCATCAGGGTCTTTTCCAATGAGTCAACTCTTCGCATGAGGTGGCCAAAGTATTGGAGTTTCAGCTTCAGCATCAGTCCTTCCAATGAACACCCAGGACTGATCTCCTTTAGGATGGACCAGTTGGATCTTCCTGCAGTCCAAGGGACTCTCAAACAAGACACTTCACACAGCCAATCAATGTGCTTTTAAAAACAGAGGTGGGGAGGGGGAATCCATCAAATTAGCTTTGATGCTAATGGTATAGACTGCCTTTCACATATATCATCTATGTTTGCTGTTCAGTAATTTTCTCTCCAGATAGACAATGAAATGTGAATTCATTGATCCCTCCTATATAATCTTAACTGTAGATTTATTTTCCTATTCCTTTTGTGTTCTGTTTATGCAACCTGGAATTTTAAACATCAGAAAATAGAAATAAACCTCTTTTTAGCAAATTCTTCTATTCAGAAGCTGAGTATTAATAGAGAAGTTTACAAAAAGGGATTGGCCTAAAGGTGATCTAATCCCTGTGATGTACTACTTTTTTTTATCAAAGCTAAATAGACACATGGAAGATATTTCTAGTGCTGTTTTATTGGGGAAAATTCTATAAAACTTGATTGTGTTTCAGTTGTTCTTTACTAAGAACACCAAACAAGTGCTATGGTCATAAGGCAGCATTTTCAATGGCATAGGCTTTTTGAGGTAAATATTTTATAACTGCTTAAATCTATTATGCATATTCAACTGCTCATTGAGAAATGGTACAGAGAATAGAGTTTAACTCCAGCTATGTATTTTCTATGCCTTCTAGTGGCACCTGTATCAAACACACATAGGCATTCAGTTTAGGAGCAAGTGCCTAATACATCATTAAAAATGAATAAAAGTAGACTAAACCAGTGAGGAAAACCATTCAAGCAGGTTAGGGAAATGAAAATCCAGTGTCTTTAGTTCTTCCTTTTTTGCCTTGATGGAAGACATCTTGTGAACTTCCATTGTTATCTGACACTCCTGTCACCCTCACCCAAACACAGGTCCTACGCAGGCAGTTTAGGAAATCCTGACTCCACATGCTAGTCATGTGAACTTGTTCAAAATTAGTTCAGCTCTCTGGAACTCAGACTCTTCATCTGAAAAATAAGGCCGATGGACTAAATGATTTTGAAGGATTATGGTTCTCCCATCTCCTGGTGGATGCTC